CAGACATAACAGAATGATAAATGATATTTATTCTATTTATATTTTTGAGGTAAGGAAGAAATTAATTCTTCAAGATTTTTGTCTTTATTATAAAATTTTCCAATATCTTGCATTGAAATACGTTGTTTTAAACAATAACTAGAGAATTGATTCCATTTATTTTTCTTAATAGATTTACATAGGTTTTGATTATTTTTTTTCTTTTTTTCAGTTTTAGAACAAGAATTTAAAATAAATTTGATATTTTCTACATTTTTTTCAATTTCACAGAGATATTTTTCGATTTCATTAATGTTTTTAGTCATTTTTTTCAATTAAAAATTATGTAATTTATGAAAATTTATATCTTTTATATATAAAATTATAATTTTTCAAAAAATAATTTTCAAATTTTATTAAGAAATTATATGAAATTTTAACATGTATGTAATAAAAAATAAAATAATTGTATAAAATTACTATGATTTATTATATAATTTTCTTTGAAAAAAAAAATAAAATTGAAATAAAAAAATAAAAAAATCATATAGTTTAATGATTTTACGATAAATTAAATAAGAAAAATATCAAAAAAAAAAATAAAAAAAAATATTTTACAAGAAAACAGAATAAAAGAAATAGTTAATAATTAAAAGATAGTATTTTTGAAAATAAAAATGTGATTTCAAAAATGAAAAATTAAGTTTCAAAGATTTAAAATTAGAAAAAAATAATTTTTACGTAAATTCATTAATAAATTTAAGAAAGAAAAAATAAAAAATGTCAAAAATTTCAAAATATTTTTAAAAACAATAGTAATTTTATAAAAAAAAGACTAAAAAAAAATATTTTGATGTAAAAAAAAAAATAAAAAGAATAAATTTAACGGAAATAAAGGATGATGTATGATAAAAAAAATAAAAATTTGAAGAGAAAAAAAATAAAAAAAATGAAAATTATATTTTTTTTTGCTTTTTTTTCAAAAAGTATTAATTAAAAAAACAAGAAAGTGAATGAATTTATAAATATTTTTTTAATGAATCATTATTTTTTTAAAAAATAAATAAAATTTATAAGAAAAATTAATTTTATATTGAAAAAAAAATATAATTTGCAAATTATTTTAAATATTTTTTTTGTTTTATGTTAGAAAATAAAAAAAAAATAAAAAAAGTAGAAAAAAAAATAATCAAATTTTGAAATTTTTTTCAAGATTTTTTTTTTAATGATTGACTACCAAATTTATTACTAAATCCGTTTTCTTTTAATAATGTTGTGTATGATATTTGTCTTAATTTAGAATTTTCTTTGATAGAGATTTGTAAATAATAGTTTTTATCACGTTTTATAGATGTCCAAGTATGATCAGAGTATTTGTTATAGAGTTCGATATCGAATATAAAATTTATATCATCTAATTGAGTTTTCATTTCAAAGTATTGAACTCCATTTATGCTAACATGTCTTATTTGATTATGAGATTTTCGTTTTTGTTTTGGTGTCCAATCACCGTGAATTTCGATTGTAGAAGGATCTAAATTTCCGACATATGTCATTATATAAGAATTATGTTTATCTTTGTATAAATAGCAGAATATTTTTATAGATCTGTAACAAGATGAATTTATATAAATTATCAATCTCGTTATTGATATTGCAAATTATTTTTGTTGTATTATTCAGTAATATCTGTCTAGCAGATTCTGATGAAAAAAATGACGGAAATAAAAAAGAAAATAAAAATCTATCAGCTAATTTCGATATAACAAAAGGCGTGATATTAGGATTAGCTTTATCATTCGTAACAAGTTATCTGAATAGGGAAAGGATTACTTTATTTTTAGATAATATAACTAAAATAATTAAAAATAAATCAGATAAAGAAAATAAAAATATGAATGATGATGAATATCTTTCAGAAGGTGTGATGCGTTTAATTTATTAATAATAATAACATTAATTTATTTCTTAATTAATTTTAGTTAATTTTATTTAGAGGAAGTTGATTAATAATGATAACATAATATAAATTTATGATAAAATTTTTTTGTTTTGTAAAAAAAAAATGTCTCTTCCTAATTTAGCATCTATTAGAGATATTTTATTTGATGAAAATCAATGTATAAAATTTTTATTTGATAATAATATTTTGTACAAACCAACAAATTGTTCAGAGTGTAATGCTAAATTATCTTTAGATAAGAAAGGAAAACGATTTCGATGTATTAATAAAAAATGTCGAGAATCTATATCTATTTTTAAAGATTCATTTTTTTCTAAAAGTCATCTTAAATGTAATAAAGTTATGGAAATCGCTTATTATTGGTTATCTAATTGTTCTAATAAAACAATAAAGCAAATGACAAAATCATCTCCGAATACTGTTACAAATTATACAAGATTTTTAAGAGAATTAGTAATTGATACTTTAAAAGATCAACCAACAAAAATAGGAGGAGAAGGGATAATTGTAGAAATAGATGAATCGAAATTTGCTAAAAGAAAATATCACAGAGGTAGAAGAGTTGATGGTGTGTGGGTGATTGGCGGAATTGAAAAAAACTGAAGAAAAAAGAGTATTTTTAAAAATTGTAGAGAAACGAGATAGTGAAACTATCAAAAAGATAATTGAAGATCATGTTGAAAAGGGTTCTATTGTACATACTGATTGTTGGAAAGGTTATTTAGGTATAGAGGATCTTGGTGTTACACATAAATCTGTGAATCATTCGAAAAATTTTACTGACCCGATAACTGGTGTTCACACGAATACGATAGAAGGTTTGTGGAATGGTATTAAATTACAGATTGCACCACGTAACAGAAATAAAAATTTAATTAAAGATCATTTGTTAGAATTTATTTGGCGCAGGATAAACAAAGACAAACTTTGGGATGCGTTTATTTATGCGTTACAATCCACAGCATATTACGAAAATAAATAATTTGTATATCAATTTAA